CTTCTCTCTTTCTCCCCCCCCTTTCTCTCTCTCACTCTCTCTCTCTCTCTCTCTCTCTCTCTGTCTCTATCTTTATCTCTATCTCTATCTCACCAAACACCCTTTTCTTCACTAACTTCAGTCTGTCCAGTAGTCCGACGGACTTAGCATTTCAGATCTTTCTGCAATGAAACACCCTGCCTCTTGCATTCCGGCCAAAGTAGTTTTGATTTCCAGCCAAGTCTCCATGTTCTGTTCTCATCAACGGTTGGGTCCCCCCTTCATCTATGGTCTTCTTCCCTCTCCCCCCCACCCTCTCTCTCTCCCCCCTTCATCTATGGTCTTCTTCCGTTGCCCCTATAATATGTTTTTCGAGTGAATCATGTTGTTTTATACACCCAAAATCGTTCAGTTTGTTTAATTACGTTCAGAAGGAATGCTTGTGTTTCTATATTTATATTAATTTTGGTACTTCTTCATTCCTCTTTTTCTGTCTCCAGGAGATTCTTCGAGACATTGCTAGACATTTCATTTCGAAAGCTGTAATACCTTACCTTTTTTGTCCCTTTTGGGCCCATGCTTCACATTGTAGGGGAGAATAATATGGTACTTCTCATAATTTTAATGCTTGCATCTTTGCAGTTTCCTTTCCAGGCGGATGTCATTTTTTTAAATGTTGATTTTGTGAATGTACTTCACGGTTTAATCTCTTGAATTTTCCTATGACCTTTAAAGCACGCATCAGAGAATACCATTGAGTTACAATTAAGATACTGAGTGCATATTATCAGCATAAACACTATTGATATAATAACTGTTCATTTATATAAAGCATGTGACTGCGAGCCTGTTTGTGAGTACAAGCATATACTATTGTGTCATTATGGTTATGTGCACATAGAAGAGAGGATGTGTGAAGGAAGAATGTGTGTGTATATGGGTGTGTTAATATGTGCGTGTGTATGTGTGTGAGTGTGTGTGAGTGTGTGTGTGTGTGTGTGTGTGTATGTGTGTATGCATGTATGTATCTTGTGAAACACCGAACCAATGTGCCATGATTTGGACAATAAATAATGTATCCTATCTTATCTTAATTGTTCCTCTTTTAGCCACAATCCTGGTTGGAGGATATATCCAAAACTGCTTTCTCTTCCCCTTCTCCCCACACACCAACTCCTATGGGAGCCTTTTCTGTGTATTTTGGCGTTTAAGTGTAATCCTTTTTTTGGTCACAGTGTTCTATGACAAATGTTGTTAGATTTTCTAGTTCTCTTGGTGTCGATCTTGGAGAGCAGTGTTTATTTCGATAACTGTTTTAAGACGCTCGCAACCGCATTAGGTCATAATATCATAGTATTATGAGCCCGCTGGGCACATTTAGCATTTTCAGTCTGGGAGGAATTCAATTTGAATTTTTCTCGGGTGGTAGCCGAAGCATATTTTTTGTCAAAAAAATCTTTAACGTTCGTAACTTGCATACGGGACCTCCGAGATTTTTTTGCCCTTATCCGAGAAGGCTAGTTGTTCGATTTTTACAGATCCTAAGATCAGGGGGTGTGGCGGAAAGATAACAGTAAGGAGTAGCAGTAGAAAGAGTTAGGAGCCCACAGGAGGTGGAAAAGGTGTGAGTGTGTGT